GTTTAGGAATTCCATTTTTGGGGGCGCCTGGGTGGTTTAAACAGTTAAGTGTCTGGCTTTGGCTCAGGTCATGCTCTCATAATTCGCGAGTTCAAGTTCCACATCAGGCTCTCTGCTATTAGCACAGAGCCTGCTTCAGATCCTCTGTCCCCCTCTCTCTCTGCCCCCTCCCCTGCTGTCTTTCTCTGTCTCTCTCACTCTCAAAAATAAACATAAAATTGAAAAAAAAATCCTTTCTTGTAACATCCATTTGGACTTTTGGTGCCTCCACTGTAATTTTATACAATTTGACACTTGTATTTTCAATTTAAATTATTCTTTTTTGTTTTTACTCATTTTAAACAGTTATCGTGTTCTTTTGCTATAAGATTAAAAAGGGATATTCATATATTTCTCATGTTTCTTGTGATATATTTTGTTCCAATAGGTCATTTATTTGATTCCTTGGATAATTTAGCTACTTTGAACTATTCAATCTGCTAGTATTTTCATAAATACTAAATACTCTTTAACTTTTCCTTCTATAAGTGTGAGAGAAAATAGTTTATAACTTTTTATAATTATAAGTTGCTGGTGGATTCTATTAGAGATCAATGGTCCTCTCTTAAGAAATGTTATAGACTTAATGAAATGAGAGTTACAGTTCTAGGATTTCCATGGTTTCACTTGGCCAAATTAGGCGATCAGTAACATGTTAGGGGAAGGTTAAAGAGCTGCCTTTGGGGGAGACATGGCTAAAGCTTAATATCATAATGACTAATATGTTTTTCTTTTTTTCCCCCTCTTGTGGCAGTAGTAGTCATTCTGTTTTATCACTAGCACAACTGTCCCCCCATTACTAGTCAGTAATAGAACTGTTTCTAATTTACTGTGTAGAAATGTAAACAAGGATTGAACACTGCAGCAGTCATAAATGTTAGGGGGATTCTGGAACCTTATGATGCTCCCTTATGATATGGATATGGATATTATACAACCTTATGAGGCTGTGCAGACCACCACCCCCCCTGCCCCCAAGAAGGTTGTACCTCCCTCTTACATGAAGCCCTCCTGCTTTAAACTCAGGAATTATAGAAGAGTTCCACTGAAAGTCGTACCTACTTATTTTTAATATGGGCCTTTTCTTTGGCTTTTTATTATTCATTTGTTGAAAAAAATAGACTTTGAGTGCTTCCTATATCCCATTTACTCTTGTTAGCCCCAGCTGTCTATCCTGTCCCTCTTTAAATCAGTGCAGTGGACGTTCCTTAAAATTCTTGGCATATGAATGAACTTTTGCCTGGCTTCCAGTACAAATACCAATTCCCCACTACTTTTGCAGTTTATTTTTTCATTTCACTGGGAATTTTAAATGAGTGGAGCATTAAATAAATGAATTTCTAACATCAACCTTAGTAAGAGTTACCAATAATTAAACTTGGGAATATTGAATTCAGTATACAAATATTAAAATAATGTGCATAGAGACAAAGTGAGAATTGGGCCTTGGAAGAAAAAATGTATTTCCATCTGCTCCACGAAGCCTTTCCAATATTTTTATCTTTCTAAATTCCCATAGCCCTTCTTAGCTATTTTTATACTTACTATCATTCTGTGTGGGAGGTATATGTGTGTGTGTGGGGGGGTGGTGGTAAGTAGACTCCACAACCAGATTATAATCTTTTTGAGAATTAGGATAGTGTCATTTTTAAATTTTCTAGTTTCAAGCATAATACTATTCATCAGCATGCATTAGATATTTACTGATTCTTTTATGTACCTTGTATTGATAAAATTTAGATGGTTTAGCATTTTAGGGGTGCCAACGAATAGAGAAGATCTTCAATGCCAAAAAAATAAAATAGATTTTTTTGTGTGTGAATTCTACACCCATTGTGGGGCTAGACCTCATGACCTCAAGATCAGCAGTCACATGCTGTACATATTGAGCCAGCCAAGCACCCCTAGAACAGATTTTTTTTTTTATTTTGTAATCAGCAATTTGTAGAGGGTTCTTAGTGAAGGTATTTGCTTGGGAATACAAATGTTACTCTCTACCAATATGCAGTGAATTTTAAAACTATATGTTTTGATCAATAATTGTATCTTCCTCATGTAATAACATTAAAAGTTCTCAATATTTTATAATCCTAATGCATAAATAATCTTGTACGTTTTCCTAAATATATTAAAAATTGATATTAAAAGTTACCATTGTTTGATGATAATAATGCCCCAAGTTCTACAGAACTCTTAAATATTTTGCTGCTTCTTTTTTTTTTTTCCTAGGCCCTACTTTTATCTAATGTCTCACGAAAGAGGTTTTCAACTGGGGAAGTTATTAACTTGATGTCAGCAGATGCCCAGCAGCTCATGGACTTGACTGCAAACCTCAATCTCCTTTGGTCAGCCCCTTTACAAATCCTGATGGCCGTATCACTGCTTTGGCAAGAGCTGGGTCCAGCAGTGTTGGCAGGGACAGCAGTCCTGGTGTTGGTTATACCAATAAATGCTTTGGTTGCAACTAGAGTAAAAAAGCTAAAGGTAAGAAAAAGACTGCATCCTGTTACACGTGTTAAACAGAAGCCAAGTTTTCTGACTTGTGTTGACAATAACCATCTAGCAAATTCTGTATATGTGGAAATAACCCAACTTTGTCATTCATTCATTCAACCAATATCGATTGGACATCTGTTCTGTGCTGAAGTACTGCAGTGAGGAGAACTGATGAGTTCCAGCTTTCATTGGAGGAGAAGGCATTGAGAAATGAATAAATAGCACAATGCCAGATTTTAATTTGTGTACGAAGAAATACGAATTAGGCTAGGATGATAGAGTAACAGAGTGCCATTTCACATACGGGATAGTGAAGTCCTCAGGAAGGATATGATATATCAGCAGGGTGAGGGAGGAATCCATGTACATGTCTGAGAAAAAGATTTACTAAGCAAAAGTAACAGTGTGCACACAGTCTAGAGATAAGGGTGTGCTTGTTTTGTCTGAAGAGTGGCAGGGAGGCTGGTGGGTTACAGTAAGCAAGGAGTGACTACATCCAGAAAGTAGTTGGTAAGTGATTAACTGAAATAATTTTAATATTCTTACTTTACATTCATTCATCTTACTGTTAATACCTTATTTGACGTCTGCCATGTACCAGACAGTGTGGACTATCCTATACTGTAGAAATGGAGAAACAGGACATAGTTTACTGCACCAAAAAACCACAGTTTAAGGGGAAGGACGAATGGTTTCATGTGTTAAAGTAAACACACACATGCAGGTGTATTGCTTATGACACTTATTTTATTATTTTAAATGGATAAAAGATTAACACTATCTATGTACTGACATGGAAATGTGTCAATCACATATTAGGGGGAAAATAAAGAAACCTATGTATGCAGATATATGTGTATATTATGCATACATGTACATATACATAACCCAATTTTTTTTTAGTGTTTTTAACCTTTATTTATTTTTGAGAGAGAGAGCGAGAGAGCATGAGTGGGGGAGGGGAGAGAGAGAGGGAGATATGGAATGTGGAGCAGGCTCCAGGCTCTAAGCTGTCAGCACAGAGCCCGATGCAGGGCCCAAACTCACAGACCATGAGATCCAGACCTGAGCCGAAGTCTGACACCCAACAGACTGAGCCACCCAGGCGCCCCAAATTTTTAAAATGTGAATATACCTATGCACATGGGTGTGATAGAGATAAGTAAATGAAATGATACAGATTTAGATATAAATGAATTTTTATAGGCATAGAAATAATCTAGAGATGAAGCACCAGTCTTTTAAGAATAGTTACCTATAGAGTAGAATTAAATGGAAGGAGGGAGATTTTTCACTAATTACTTGAATACATTTAAGGGATGAGGATTTACACCTTCTTTTATATTTTTCTGAATTTTCTAAATACAGATCAATCACCAAATAATTACTAAAATTATTACCAAATAATTACTAGAAAGATGACTAGTCTTTAGAGATGAAAACTAGAAAATACCATATAACTATGAAATAATTATGAATTACTAACACAATAGTATTTAGAATAACAAGTTTGTATTATAATTAATATTTTTAAACTAGCTTTTAAAAATTCTAGATTTTAAATAATTTAAATTCAAACTTTTATGAATTGAAATACATTTGGGGAAAATTTCAAAGAGAGTACAACATTATGTACAAATATACTAAACAGAAAATATGCCTCTAATCACACAAATAGTATTGTGGATAGTAGCTTGTAAGTGTGTAGTTTGTTAGATATACAAATACTGTACTTATTATTTGCCAAAAAAGAATCAGTATTTGAAAATATCCATTTTAATAACTTTAATTTCCAAAGTATTAATACTCAATATAGTATACTTATAATATACAGACTTTTATGTTTATTCTGTTATAAATAAATATATATATGTATATATATCTCTCTGATAAAATTTGGGGAATTTAATCCCATTTAAATAGAATATGGATGGATATTATTTTTTTATTCAATTTTAAACAAATTACATGTAAATAAATAAATTTTCTACTATTTTGTAAAGTATGCACTTTGCTCTTATTCTGCTGCTGGCTACTTTTAAGTTTTAAAATATCTACTTATAACTAATTTTTACCTTTACCAATGAAAGAATATATGAATATTTTATGATGGTTTTCAACTAAATATTATATAAAATAGAGGGAAGAGACTGTATTTTTTAAAAAGGCTGTAGCAAAGTAAGTTAAATTATTAGCAACCTTTGTCAAATATGCTATCATTTTCTTCCCCTTAAATAGAAAAGCCAAACGAAGAACAAAGATAAACAGATAAAACTACTCAATGAAATCTTACATGGAATTAAGGTAATATAAAAGGAATGTGATTTTAATTTCACTATTTAGAATACAGTAATGTTAGTGAATAAATGAATTTTTTACCATTCTCAATATCAAAGTAATGAAATATATATATTGAAGGAAAGTAATGAAATATATATATTTATATGTATATATGTGCAAAAAATACATATGAGTATATCATATAAACATAGGATACACATTATCTACCATTATATCATAGGATATAAACATTCACCATTACTACACTATAAACATTCATCAACACTATCATTATAAACATAGGATATGCCCGTTATATGTACACATTGATTCACATATATAGGTATACACACACACACACACACACACACACACACACACACACACACACGTAATTGTTGGCAGAGTATTTCAAGTCTCATGTATAGGAATTCTTATTGTTAAAATAGCATTTAAATGAAACCAAATAAAATGCAGGTATTTTCTTTCTGTTTCTCACCCAAGAATTAAACATAAATATCCCCAAAGAGACAACATATAACTTGTTTTAAGGGGTTGTGTGGAAGAGATGGAATGAGGCAGGCAAGAGTGGCAATGACATTATCATCAGGTTGAAGGCAGGTTTATATGGGGAAAGTGATGAAATGTCATTCAGGTTCTTTTAGGTGGAATGGAAATGATCATACAAATGGTATTTTACAAAATGTATGTTATAAATTATTTATCCCTAAGAAAGCTACCCCCCATTCTACTAATATTTTCTCTATCATAAAAGAGTGCAACCTCATGAACTTTCTAGATAGATAGATAGATAGATAGAATTTCAAATTCTGTTTCACCTAGATTATACCATATCAGATTTTTCTTTTTTTTAATTTTAATGTTTATTTATTTATTTTCTGAGAGAAAGAGAGACAGAGAGAGAATGAGAGCAAGCCAGGGAGGAGCAGAGAGAGAGAGAAATCTCAAGCAGGCTCTGCACTGTCAGCACACAGCCTGATGTGGGGCTCAAACTCACAAGCTGTGAGATCATGACTAGAGCCAAGACCAAGAGTCCAGTGCTTAACTACTCAGCCACCCAGGAACCCCTAGATTTTTTCTAAAGGACAAAATTTGTAAAGCCCACATGGAATTTCCTTCTGGAATTGACAATTGCATAGGAAATTTTCTGTCTTGTGCATTTATCATTACAAACATAGGATATGCCCATTATATGTACACATTGATTCACTTTAGGAATCATTAAAAATTCTGCTCTATTGTACTGTGTAGAACTTTCACAAAATTGAAAACTACTGAAGTGAAAGACATTGTTAAAGATACCTTGAAAAGAGACTGATATGATTCACTTACTTATCTGAATATAAGAGTACCCTTAAGTAGCTCTGAAATTTAACTCAGATTAAATTACTGAATAGCTGATATTCTGTAATAAGGTCATACACCCCCAAAGGAATGTTATCCTAATGCATCCAGTACTTCTCAGTGGGTTAATTGATAACCCCTGCATTCATGCAAAGTGTAGCAATATATGTTTATAGGTTGTAAATGCTGATATTGGGGGGGGTGCTGGGTGGCTCAATTGGTTAAGCGTCCGACTCTTGATTTCAGCTCAGGTCATGATCTCACAGTTTATGGGTTTGAGCCCTGCATCGGGCTGTGTGCTGACAACATAGAGCCTGCTTAGGATTCGCTCTCTCTCTCCCTCTCTCTAGCCCCTCCCTCACACTGTCTCTGTCTCTAAATGAATAAATAAATAAATAAAGATTGATCTTCATAAAAGGAAATTTGTATTATCAGTAAGACTGGGACAGTGTAGATAAAATAAAAGAACATTTCCTAGATATCTGAGCAAAGTCAAAAATTTGAAATTAGTTCCAGCAGTGAATATACTAGACAACTGGTAGAGGACCAAGTATAGGGAAGTTTAAAGTATAGGATAGTTTGAAGGTGTGGGCAGTCAGCATCCCTGGGGTTTGGGGGAAGAAAACAGATGCTATAGCCTCTCTCTGATAAGGATAATAGCTCTCATTTAGTGAACAATTTTTACGTGCCACGTGCTGTAATGATCACTTTGGATCTGTTTCCTCATGCAATTCTTAGGAACCCCAAGAAAATAACTTCTCATCTTCATTTTCCAAATAAGGAAACAAAGTCTCTGAGAAGTTAAGTGTCATGTCTGAGTTCACAGAGCCAGTGAGAGATTTTTAGGGTTCTCCAGAGAAACAGAGCAATAGGATGTATGGGACTGTATATATTCCAGTTTACAATCTCAGAACACTAGTCACCTTTCAGAAAATGGCTTGAAGTCCCATGCCATCAGTCTTCCAGAAATTGAGAGGCCATAGAAAGGAGCATAGCTATTGGGTATTGGGAGTGGACAGAAGTGAGAGCTGAACCAGCAGGAAGAGTACTAATATTAAGCTAGACAGAAACACTGTGGGGCTCATGCCCAGAGCTGAGATGTTGCTGAAGTCTGGCTCAGGAATAAGCTATTGGTGGATGAGAAGGACAGAAACCTGGAGAGGTGGTGATTTTCTACTCCCAGCCATCTACCCCCCAAAAACCCATAATAAAAAGAAATACTTTTTTTATGTTTATTTTTGAGGGAGAGAAGATAGAGAGAGAGCACGAGCAAGGGAGGGGCAAAGGGGGAGGGAGACAGAGAATCTGAAACAGACTCTGTGCTGTCAGCACAAAGCCTGACGTGGAGCTTGAACCCATGAACCGTGAGATCATGATCTGAGCCCAAGTCAGATGCTCAACCGACTGACCTACCCAGGAGCCCCAGGAAAAATTTGACCCAGGTGAAAATAGGAGTATTATTTGCTTTATGAGTTTAATGTCTTTTTTAAAAAACCTTTACAGTTGTGTGTATGTTGGGGGCCGGGGGAGTATACTGTGTATATTTGTATGGGCGCAGGTTTTTATTTCTTATATGATATTGACTTATCAAATAGTCATTGTCTGCATCCTTTACAGATCCTCAAACTTTATGCATGGGAACCCTCCTATAAAAAGAAGATTGTTGAAATTCGAGAACAGGAGTTAGAAGTTCAAAAATCAGCTGGGTATCTTGCTGTATTTTCTATGCTGACATTAACTTGCATTCCATTCTTGGTGAGTGTGTATAATATTTCCTGTTTTGATTTTCAAATTTGGTCTGCAGATCACCTCCAAATTACCTGGACTTAAGGTGTCCAAAGTGGAGTCTTCTGTATCTGAAATAACATTTTCATGAAATGCAGTCGTTGATTTATGTAGATTAGAGAATGGAAGTTTTAAAGAAGAGGAAAGTATATGCATTCTCATTGGTCTGTATTTTTTACCTATAATACAATTTTGTTTCTTTACAAATTGCTCACAGATCGACCACTTGCCTTTCTATCCTTAAACAGTATAACCTGCATTTAAGAGTTTCATTTCAGGTATAAAATTCCTTGATTGGTGTGATTAAGCAAGACCCAAAGGCATACTATATGGAGTTGGGAAGGGAATGAAGAATTATTGAGTGCTTCTCCAGCATGCCAGACAAGTTAATAGAGGTTGCCTTGTTTCATTCTTGCAATGATAAGGCATTGCTTTTCTCATTTCACAATAGGAAATGAAAGTCCATTCTACTTTGGTAATATCCTCAAAGTTATAGGATTAATATTCGGAGGCAAATTGATATGAACTGAGGGTGTTCTCTTTCTGTCATACCATGTAAGCGTTGGGAATTCCATGCTATTTAAACTAGAATATAAAGTGCCTTGAGGTATAAAGCGATGACTGAAAGCCAAAGGAAGACCAGACCACATAGAGCTGAAGCATCAATGTTAATCAAAGTTACCACTCCTGGTGGTGATGGGGGCCAGGGGAAGTTCCATATGTCTCCCTGGTTGGTAATTTTAAATATTATTATTTTTTATTTAGATAAATATATGAGTATTATGAAAATAAAAAGCGATATTTACATTTGGAATTCTTTGGTAAAAATGTCCAAGAAGTATTTGCTTAAGATAAGTCCTATGTACATGATAGCATATTCTCATGCATATATGAACTTTTCTGCCCTTTCTAAATGACACTTACAAAAGTAAATATAAATGTTATGAGCCATGATTTATTCATACTTTCTTCAGTTAATTTTGTGACTCACAGAAAGTATAATCATTACATATGAGTCCGGGTGTATACATATACCATTGGAAAATAAATTTACATAATACTCCATCTTAAAAAAAAAGATGTACACATTTTATTTATTTTTTAAAATTTTTTTAAGTAAATTTCTTCTGAGAGAGAGAGATTGGACAGGGGAGAGACAGAGAGAGAGAGGGAGAGAGAGAGAGAAAGAGAATTCCCAACAGGCTCTGCACAGACAGTGCATTAGTACACATTTTAAATGGGAATAGTTCCAGTAGGAACATGATATCTGAAAGAAGGGAGTTGGGCCACATGGTCTCAAGGGTGCCGTTTTCTAAGGTACACAATTGTATTATCTAAATATTATTTTATATTCTTCAGCAATCATACTGAATAGTACTGGATTTTGGTAAACAACAATAAAAAAGGTTTTAACATTTTTTCCCCTATTTGGGGGGACTTTAACTCATACTGTTGTTAGCACTGAATAATTGAAGGAAAGAACATGTCTGTATTTTTTAGGTGTCCCTGGCGACGTTTGGCATCTATTTCTTATTGGATGAAGGAAACTTTTTAACAGCCACTAAAGTGTTCACATCTATGTCTTTGTTTAATATTTTGAAGCTTCCTTTGTTTGATTTACCAATGGTGATCTCAGCTGTGGTCCAGGTACATCCAAAATATGCTTAAACCTTAGAAGAGTCATTCATCTACTGAAGTCTGTGGTTTTGCACATTTTACTTCTGTGTCTTTTTTTTTCGGTATTTATTTCACTTTTTGTTGTTGTTTTACACTGCCTTCAAAATTAATCTCCCCGAATTAATGAGTAATAGGGAACATTAACGAATCGAAGGAATCATGTTTTCTTTGCCTATGCGTTTCTCCTATCAAAATGACTTTTAAGTGTTTCCATATAGGATATTGTTTTCATTGCTAAGTGTTAGTTTATTTTAGTTAGCTTTTTAAAAGGTAGTGTTAGACATAATGCCATCAAAAGTCTCATTTTATGTTTTCAGTTGAAAAAATATTTAGCTAGATGCTTTGTATGGAACTTGATATGAATGTTTCTCCAGGGTTCAGCAACATTTCATCTGTACTGAAGGAATAAGACAGGGAAACAAGTGCACTGATAATGTCAGTCTGCCAACAAACCGTGTATGAGGTATCTGCTTCAGCAGATCTTTATTGTAATCTCCAGTCACTGGGGGCTCTTTTAATATTATTATAATGAGTAGAAAGCTGCTAAAACCACAGGGAATGTGGAGAATGATCCCTTTGCGCTGAGATTTTGTGTTAAATTTTTTGAATGTCAGGTTTCGATTTTCTGGGTGGCCTCCATTGAATCCTCTTCCTCAAGTCTGAGTTCATAAGCAAAGTGAAGCTTTGCTAATTGGAACCAGCTCTTGAATCTATGAACTTTGCCTTTAAATTTTTATATGATTTGATGGGTGCCTGGGTGGCTCCATCTGTTAAGCATCTGACTTTGACTCAGGTCATGATCTCTCGGTTCCTGAGTTTGAGCCCTGGTTTAGGTGAGCTCAAGTCCCGCTTCCGGTGAGCCCCACCTCTCTCTCTCTCTCTCTTTCTCCACTCCCTCTCTGCCTCTCATGAGTTTCTCTCTGTCTGTCCCTCACTCACTTCTGCCCTCTCTCTCTCTCAAAAAAAATTTTTTTGTATTATTTAAGTAAATAGTAACTTATAGTTACTAATAGTAACTGTAATGGCAATAATTATATTAAATTATATTAATTATATTAAAATTATAATAGTAATAGTATATTATTTGAATAAATATATAGTGAATACCAAGTAATCCATTTTTGTTTTATCA